AAGACTACTAGCAATATTTGTGCTACTTGGCGTACTTCTATGGGTATTACTCTATTCCCCCATCCTGCAGTTAGCCCTGATATGAATCCTATTGAGAAGTGCTGGAGGAGAATAAAACAAGCTCTCCATAGGCGCCTAAGGCAGCCAACAACTGAGGTTCAAATGGTTGTAGCAGTATTAGAAGAATGGGACAAAATTCCTCAGGAATGGATCAATGGGCTTATTGAGCAGCAGGACTTCTGGGTACACGACTTAATTAAGCGATGTGGCTGGTCTACAGCTAATTAATTAATAAAATTCATGATTCTGATGCCCTGAACGCACGGACTTTTGTCCCCATGTTCGTTATATATGGGCTCTGGAAAAGGTCTGGGTCAATATTTACGACTTAATCGCAGCAGTAAGAGACAACAACTGCCCGCCGAAGCGATTCTCCAGCCAGAAGGCACTTGCGAGATACACGATTCATGAGAAGAAGATCTTTCCGAGGCAGAAGGCGAAGGATGGTGGACCTGTCAAGGCTTTGTTGGCACATATCTTTTGAGATCGGAACCTAAGGCGTTGAGAATTCTGCGAGGTGTACGTGGGGGAAGGATAACAAAGGATTGGGCGGGCTGTTGCATCGAAGGCGCTGGCTCCATGGTGCACCTGCGTCGTGCAGTCGGTCTTCTTTCAATGTAAGAGAGTACTTGCATAAATGGAATGAAGCTGTGGTTTTGTTGTCCTACATGGAGTGACTTCCTTTGTTCCCTTTCGCCTCATCGCCTTCTGACTTGTCCCCATGAGACCTCTGATTCATCGTTTCTCAACTTGAGCTTCAGGTCTCTAAACCCGGTTCCCCTTTTCAATTTGATATCTCTTCAAACCCGGCCTTCACATCTGACTTCAAGATGAACCAAGCCGTCGCCAATCGAGACGTGTTTCAGGAGTTTACCCAATACTTTGACTCCGTTAACTATTTTGGCGAGCAAATCGAGCTCAAAAGATGGCGGAGATTCTGCCGGAATCTGGGAGTCGTTGGAAATCTGGAAAGCATCGCAGAATGCAAGAGGGTAAAAAACTCTACTTTAACAAGTATACATAGACACCGACAGGAAGCTGGATAGGAACTGAAGAGTGTATGGGACAATATCTGGGACATCCTCGATTCGATCAGGAGTGGGAAGGGTGGGATCATGGCAAAAAGATTTAGTTCGAAGGAGGAGCTCACGAAGTACACGAAAGATACTCCAAGGTTCTGTCCCAGAAATAAAGCGAAGACTCACAGAGCTCTCAGGGCATTGTTGAAATGCATGGACTGATGGAAACTCGTTCTTACGGATGCAGGCTGAGGTGACTGGAAAATAATCGTGTTCGTCACACGGTGTTGGTATTCAGGTCTGATTTCTATGAGTTGCAACTGCTGGAAAATCCCACAAAAGCTGGAAGAATGTGCTTTACAGCTTGCGAGGAGCGATTGCCTAAGATTGTCAGCATGGACCTCAGAGCAGACGAGTTCAATGGTTACCTTAGGGGGTGCAACATAATCACATGCTCCGCCCATCATGTTCATGAAATTGTCGGGCACAAGCGAGATCATCGAATGTGGGAAACCCAAGTCAATCGGGCTCGCCTTCTCAATCTCATCCATATCCTCCTTAGTCAATTCCAGACTTAGTGCGTCGACATTTGACTTCAAGTGCGCCATTGTCCTTCCGCCTACGATTGGGAAGACGTAAGGTCTCTTCTGCACCACATAAGCAAGAGCAATACTGGTGATCTCGGTGTTTTTCTTCTTGGCTATAGCTTCAAGGGCTCTGGATACGGAGAGGATGTGTTCAGTTGGTGGCATGAAATTTCGGCCGTCTTTCTTGGTTGCAGCACGTTGCTCGTCCGTCTTGAAGTGGCCACTGCCGAGAGCTCCCTATGGTGCAAGTGCTATGCCTTCGCTAGAGGGATTCGTCAGTATCATTGCCGCTACTTAGCTGAGAGCACTTTATACTTACGCAATGGTCATTGGAATGATATCTCGCTCGAAGTCTCGCGTTGCAGCGGACCAGTTGCCCTGATAGACACAGAATTGTCTCAAGCCATGGTCACGTGCATACTGGTTCGCTTTGGAGACTATCCAAGCCGGACAATCTGAGACGCCCAGATAGTGTACTTTGCCTGCAACAATCAAGTCATTCAAAGACTGCATCACTTCCGGAATCGAAGTGGTGTGATCCCACCAATGTAGGTAAAGCTACGGACGAATTAGCTGCTTGGATCTACTGGTTCGAGATTTGACGGGACGTCGGAGGCATCGAGCCGAGCGTACCAAGTCAATGTAATCAGTTCGAAGATTTTTCAAACTCAGCTCCACTGAACTTTTCAAGCTTTTCGTACCGTTTCCACCTGTGTTGACAATGATCTCTTTATCGCCGTAACCTGTTCTATAGGGGGTAGTGTACTTGGTAGCTAGTACCATTTGATCCCTCACACCTCGCTTCTCCATCCACTCTCCGAGGATACGTTCAGACCGCCCTTTCTGGTAGTTGTTCGCACTACAATACTTCAGTGAGGATGATACCAATCCAAAACAGTACCTACGTATCAATAAAGTTCCCTCCATTTGCATAGAAGTAGTCGAGAATAGCCTCATGCTCTGTACAGGTACCCATATGAGCCCTGTAATCATGTCAATTCGTGCTCAATATCTGTGGAAAGAACACACCAAGCATCCCCAAAATTCATAGCTCCGAGGCATAACGGGCTAACTCTGACCGAGGCTGTTGGTGACAGGTTTCGATAAAAGCCGAGTCCAGTTTTGGGTGTTGGAGGTGGTGCAAAGGCTGCCATGGTAGAACTTGATGGTAAAGAGTATCGCGATTGCCAGTTGAACACAGTTTAAGATAATTACCAGGAATGGAGGTCTTGAGGGGCTTTATATAAAATTTCCAAGACCTTGGATGGTTGTCCGTGCTATGAGGGATAACAACGATTCGTTGCCACTGCATTCGGATCTTGGATTAACTCCATCGACCATACATAGGAACAAATGGGTCCGAGGCGTACAGGATTGCTGTCCCGCATCGTGGGGCTCGCGTGTGGAACTTTCCACTTCATGTTACTTAGAAGTGGCTGATATGATTCGCTCTCACTGTCTTGGACCTTAAAGTGGCACTCCGATCATGCATGGTATCGAAAAAGGGGGAGAAATGCTCTTGAAGCTCCAATTCATCAAAAGTTCGTCTTACATGAACTCGGAGATAATAATAGGATGCAGACCAAAAAGATGAAATCATGCCTCGCACAGGAGATTTCTGTTGGCATTATCATGTTGATTCATTTCGCTGTTCGATTGATAGGTGCTGCGTGACGGTTTGCTGCACCCTGCTGACATTGTCTTTATCGCCGATATAATGACCTGAGCCGAGATCGTATCAAAGAAGCTCATAGGCAGTATAATCGTGCTTGAGGAAGTTCCGTGCTGCCTGGCGATCGATGAATGTCGGCCGCCACCCAACACGGTGATCTCCACACTTGCAGATCCAAAAGATTCGAAAAAAGACTCGAGATTCGTTTCAGAATGCCGAGTACTCAACGTTGAGATATTGCTGAGGAAGATGTACACAGCGAGGGCTCCTCGAGGTCGAATCAACTCGGAGATGACGTGTGTGAGCAATACCTTGACAAGCACTACTCGTAAGAACTTTGACAAACAATCTCCTTTTGATCGAACAAATTATAAAAGAACGTGCCTATATATTCTCACGTCAGAGTGGGTGAAAGAATCAATCCTCAGGAGTTGGTCGAATGTCGATCCCAACTCGGGACATGTTCGATCGCAAGGAAGTTCAGCCTTGCCGACGAGGCTAGTCAACCACGCTAAATCTGATCCCTGCAAAAAATATCGCGAGAACTCAGAAAAAGTTATCTTGAAGAACTGCTCACAACATCAACAATTCATATCCTACGATGCCTCGTCAACGATCCAAGAAGTTGTCGGACAGCCGCAAGGCTAAAACAGGAATCGCTGCGGATATCACCAAAGAAAATACGCAGACCCATGGCGACAGCGAAAGCGACAATGAAAGCCTCGAAATATTCGACAAAGATGCAGAAGAAGAGGAATTGGACAGGCTTGTGCTCGGCGATGGCTTCGGCTTTAAAACGCAATACGGCGCGGATACTGAGATGCAGTACGGGGAAGCAGTCGACGAGGACGAAGATGTGGTCGAGCGGGACTCAGAAGGTGAAGCTGGGCTCGAGGATGTTGATGATGCGGATGTAAGAGAACCTACAAATTAATGCCACGACAATGAAACTAATATTTTCTAGCTCTTCTTCCTTGACTCCGGCCCCTCGGCAGTGGATGCATCCGCATTAGTACCTGCATCGGACAATGAAGCTCCAGCTTGGGAAGATAGTGACGACGATCGTCTTGCTATATCTCTTGCTGGAAACTCACGACTTCGCAAACTTCGAGTAAACGAGGACGAGGATATTGTGAGTGGTAAAGAATATACAAGACGGCTGAGAAGGCAATATGAACGCCTGAACCCAGTTCCAGAATGGGCACACCATTCTTCTAGACCAGCGAAACGACGTCGTCGGTCATCTGCGGGGTCAGAATCATCGTCATCTTCGAATGACATGGATGTTGATGACGCGGACTTATCAGCATTGCCTTTGGCACGCATATTACAGAATGCAGGTTCTCTGACCAAAACTGCCCAGACTGGAGCAAAGCGTGCCAAGCTTCGTCCAGAGGTCCTCGATATTCAACAGACAAGAGCAATTCCTCTTGTGCAACCGTCCTCCATTACTTCGTTATCCTTCCATCCCGAGTACCCAGTACTACTCTCTTCGGGTCCTGCATCCACACTTTACTTGCATCACATCGATGCTGCAGCTCACCCGACTCCTCATCCTCTACTTACATCTGTACACATCAAACACACCCCTATTCATACATCCGCATTCTTATATCCTAAGGGAGACACGATTGTGTTCTCTGGTAGGCGGCGTTATTTTCACACCTGGGATTTGCCTTCCGGCACGATCCAGAAAGTCACTCGTGTATATGGACAGAAAGACGAGCAGAAGAGCATGGAAAGGCTCAAGCTTAGCCCTTGTGGACGGTATATGGCTCTGGTAGGAACTTCGAAGAAGGGAGGAGGTATTATCAACATATTAGATGCAAGCACAACTCAATGGGTTGCTGCAATGAGAGTAGAGGGTGCGAACGGCGTAGCCGATTTCGCATGGTGGGGCGATGGAGAGGGTCTGACGGTAGTGAGCAAAGGAGGAGAGGTCGCTGAATGGAGCGTCGAAACACGGTCATATGTAGCACGGTGGATCGATGAGGGTTTTGCGCCCACTGTCCTAACTTTGGGGGGACCGAATGGGCCTACACCGCTTGGTGGCGACAGATGGGTTGCCATAGGCTCTCAAAGCGGAATTGTCAACATCTACGATCGGAGATCATTCGTTAACAGCCAGAACAAAGTCGAAATCCTCGAAAGACCGAGCCCAAAGAGGTCTTTCGACCAATTCACCAAACCCACAAGTCATCTGGAGATCAGTCCAGATGGTCAACTCTTGGCGTTCAGCAGTAAATGGAAAAAGGATGCACTTCGGCTGGTTCATCTTCCTAGCTGCACAGTGTATAGGAATTGGCCAACCGAAAAGACACCGCTTGGAAAGATCACAGCGGTCGCGTTCGGAAAAGAGAGTAACACCCTGGCTGTGGCGAACGAAGCTGGCAAGATACGCATGTGGGATATTAGAAGTTGAGTAATGAAAACTCTTGCCCCTAAATTTCCATTGGAAGTTCTCAAGAATTTTGTGGCCAATCTTCTCGGCGTCATCATTTTCACTCAGGTAGGTTTCGTTCATACTGGGCATTTTAGGTGATAGTACACGAAGCACACTCCGCATCAACTACCGTGCGGCTGATTATACTTACCTAACCTAAGATGTGAGCTTAGTCAATAACGTAATCAGTTACTCGGCAAGAAACCTATAGGGATCCTGGTTTCGGGATCGGAGTCTCGTCAGCCAATACCTAGAAAGGCGAGTCCACCCTGACTTCCACGTCTGGCTCATGGCCTCAACCAACCCTGCTAAGAATTTGCTCTTTCAAGGATCCCTCTCCTCCCTTGTTCTCGCCGCCAAAGCTTTCAAAAGGGAGATTGCGAGCACGCTGATGTAAGACCGTCTAGATCGACCCCTTGCTTAGCGAGTTCGGTTATGACACATTTTGCTCGGGTATTCTGACTGTGTCTTTCTCGGCGAAGTTGATGTTCAGGGGTTCAGGGCTGAACATGTTTAATCAGTACTGAACATGCAATCATTCAGCCATATGTAGACCTAGCGGTCTTGATATTATTTATATCATGATCTGGGTTCTCCTTAAATTTGGCAAAAGCAACTTTGCGAATTCAAGACACTTTCACTCCACAAGCTATGGGCTCAATATCAGTGACAAACCCTTTTGAAGGGTCATTCGGATCAATTGTGGACGGCATGAAAGCTAATGAGATGCTTGGCAAGCGCCTACTTCCACATGTCGTTGACCACATTGCCAGCACAAATCCAAACCTCATCATCGGCATGGTTGCAAAAGCCAGTGCTGGCGAGAAGACTCCTTACGACTTCACCGAAGTGAACATGTTCCAGTTTGCCAACGCAGTAAATTATACAGCTCATTGGTTAGACAGCATTCTCGGTCCGGGTTCACAACAGACGATTGGATTCGTTGGTCTCCAAGATTTCAGATATGCGATTATGGAAGTAGCGGCTATCAAAACTAGAAATGTTCTATTACTCCCAAGTCCTCGGAACGCATTATCAAACACAATTCACCTGCTGAATGCTACTGAATGCGGTTCACTATTCTATTCTGGCACCGGGAGCCCAATCGAAAACCACGTAAAGGGACTTCAAGACTCCATGGGAACAGACAAACTCAAACTACACGCCATACCCAGCTTTGAGGACATGGTTTCGACACCAGCTCCCCATTACTCGTACACCAAAACCTACAAAGAAGCCAAGAACGACGTCGTTCTCATCCTCCACACTTCTGGCTCAACAGGGCGTCCGAAACCAATCAGGATCACCAACGCGTACATCAAGCGAGCAGACAGCGAGCAACTCACTCCCACCATCCCAAACAGAATCCATGCCGACCTTCGGAACTTGCAATCGCCAATGTACAACGGATCTCCATTTTTTCATCTCAGTGGTGTTATCGTTATGCTGAGAGCTTTGTTCTCAGGGGTAAATGTTGTTATTGGGCCTCCTGATGTTCCTCCTACGCCAAAGGTGGCGTGCAATATTGCGAGGAGTATTGAGCTGAAGACTGTCATGGCTGCTCCTCACGTTGTCGACTCGTTGTTTCTAGAGCATGGTGAGGAGTTGAAAGAGCGTTTTTCGAAGCTGGAGCATGTAATTTGGTTTGGTGGTAAGTGTCTTTATTTTGCCTCAGAAACAAATTCTCGAAATTTTATAGCTAACATGAACATTAGGACCATTAGCACACACAACAGGCGATTGGATCATCAACCATCTCCCACATGTTCATCTCTGGCAATTCTACGGTTCCACAGAAATGGCTTGGTTCCCAATGCTCGTTGCTCCCAAGACGCACTGGTCATACATGGAATTCCACCCACATCTTGGACCTCACCTCGAACCCGTCCCTGACACCGATCTCCACGAGCTTGTGATCCGTCATCGTGAGGATCCTACTCACGCATGGTCAACTCCAATCTTCGACATCTTCCCAGACGAACCAGAATGGCGATCAAGAGACCTATTCAAACGATGCCAAGACCCTGGAATGCAGAACTTGTGGAAATTCGAAAGTAGATTAGACGACATCATGATTCTTAACAATGCGCTGAAAGTCAATCCACTGCACATCGAAGTCAAGCTCCAATCTCATGCTTTACTCAATGGAGCAATGGTTTTTGGTGAAGGAAGGATGAAATGTGGGATTTTGCTGGAGCCAAAACAGGGGATCGAGAAAGAGCTGTTGCTGAGGATAGTATGGGGAGATATCGAGAGGGCGAATGGAGATGTGCCGGAACATGCTAGGGTTGAGAGACATTTAGTGTTAGTCGCAGACAAGGAAAAGCCATTTGTGAAATCTGCGAAGGGGACAGTTGTTAGGGCTGCGACGGGGAAGCTTTATGAGAGGGAGATTGAGGAGGTGTACTTGAAAGCGATTGAGGTATAGGTTATGAGGAACCTTTTTTTGCGGATATAAAAAAGTGTGATCTCATAAAATGGGTAACCGAAGATATCATAGTCTCGATTTTTATCCTGACGCCAGTGTAACATGGATTGGCAAATCAAGAATGCCAGAAGAAAGTGCTAGGTTTACATTTCAACACTCAAGGAAACGAATCCATAATATCTACGCCATTAACAACCATCAGCATCGTCCTGTTATCCCCTAACATCCTTGGAACTTCCATAGGTATACGCCCTGGACGTTCTTCAAAAACATTTCCCGGAAATGACAGCCCGTCAAGTGACAGAAGCATATTATGTCCTCTGTGTATCCCGTCATTCAACTCTTTAGTATCTTTTGCGAGGCCGTTGTCATGATGCCCTTGCCTAGCAGGTCGCACGTCGTCAGCAACCGGAAGAGGGGCATCTTGTGCAGGGTTTATCGCTTGTGGAGCTGGTGCAGGATCTTCGTACCGATTTGAATATATCCTCTCGAGCCCGTTCCTCTCCGTTCCAGGGAAGACATATGTGTCGAAATAGTCTTTGGGGTCGTCGACTGTTCTGGCGTATGCAATGAGAGATGACATCGATGACATGATGACTCCCATGAAGAATTTGGCGTTGACCAGGACTTGGTACTCTACAATTGCCTTGCGGTCAAAGGGCAACGCCTCTAGCTGTTTAAGAGTAGCAGGCTGGGATGATAGGATGAGATTCTTGTCAAGAACTGTGTAGCCGAGAGGAGAAAGTAGGTCTCGAAACCGTTGAATGACGGATTGGTCACCGCACTATATGTTGTCAGCTCTTGTCGCTTTGTGAATGTAGAGAGGTGATACTTACACTGACATAGATGGTATTGGTACCGCCTGGTGAGAGAGACTGGATACGTTCGATTTCCTTCGTATAGAGACGCATCTGATCATCCGCAGACCCGAAGCCAGCAGGCCAATCGCTTTCGCCTCTCAGATGCACACCTATGTACGCATCATGCTTTAATCTCCGATCGTGCGAGATCTGCGTACTCAGATCCAGCAGCTGACGATTGAACGTCAGAGTCTTGAACAACGCTTTTCGAATCGTGTCCAGCTCATTCGAAGCCCTGTAGTTCCACCCTATATATGAGTCTCCGAAATCAAACACCACTTGATGTGCCGTGCTCATATTGCGTAAGTTCGTCTGCTTTCCTGATACAACCATTGCTATGGTTTCTCGAAATGCTCCTTTCACGAAAGGCTCTTCGAGATATTCTCTGCGGGGACTTTCGATGACTCGTTCAATACCTCTCCTATCATCACACATTCGTAGCTCTAGTTGGGGGCAATATTTTCCTAGTTTTTTTTCTAGGAATTGCATATTCCAAAAGACATCAGCGCACATTATCTTGTCGTTTGTGTTCAGGAGATCCTTCTCGTCTCTGGCGGTGGCTGAGGGGATAATCAAGCCCGCACCTGCATCAATGGCCATTCGAATACATGTTTGGACGCGATTTCGAGCGTTGTTCAGACCCCCACAAACCGATGTTCGGTTGACGCCGCAGTGACTGTGGCAGTGGAGCCAGAGTCCAGGCTGCCATTTCGTGTCTGAGCAGAGCTGCGAAAGCTTGGCAGGACTATCATCGTGGTAGTCGCTTTGACCTGTCTGGGTAGAGTTTCCCAGGAGTGTGCTCTTCAGATATTCGAAGGATGGAGCTTCAAAAGAAGGCAGAAAATGGATGTCGCGGAAATAGTAGAGAATACATATGACCAAGAAAGTAGCGACAGGGACAAATGCCCAAAGGCGGGATTTTTGACACATAACTTCTCATGCCAAGACTTGAAAGATCTACGTCAAAGGTACTTGGTTAAAAAAGGAGTGGAAAGCAAGAATGTGAGCAGGAATGAGCTTTTGATTATGAGAACGTGACTGGAGTCACCTCCTGCTACTCAAGGCGACATAAACTTGATGATAAAAGTGGTTTCAGGTACAATAGCGCAGGTACGTAGACTTATGGACCTGTTTTTCTGTTTTGAAGTTGGAATGCTGGGTGGCTATATGTTTTCTAGAGATGTGCAAGGTAACGACGTGACAATCAGCGTTCATATATATAACACTGCAGTATTGAGCTTCCTTGTCGGAAATGAGAAAACAACTCTGAGCAAGAGACGAGGTGGCCATGGAGCAATTCTATCAAGTTCACGCTAGATGCTCCACGAAGCTCGAAAGTCACTATCAATCTCCGGGTCCCAGAATGGGTCAGGCCATTTGAAAATGGGAAACGGTTTAATGTACAATGATGATGATGATCAATATTTGATATCTGCTAACTTGGCCCAGGTCACCCCCACACCATCCAATCTCCTCAAACGTGACGACCGATCTACTTTGAACTTCGGAGTCTTACCCTACTTACCTACCTAGGTAGCTGGCTCAGAGTTTGTTCGTTCTGCAAGTTTGTTATGCAATAAATCTTCTTTGTAAAATATGACAATGATGATTGAGAATTTTGTAGGTTTGCGTGCCCTCATATCCGACTGCAAAGCTTACCACGAATGGAATACAGATTGTGTGTGGACACGGTTTTGTTGTTGCAGCCTGCTCATATAGACTACACAGACTTTTCCTGTTCCTGAAATATAAAATTAACATGGCCGTCATAATGGCCTGAGCTTGGGACACCGGCCCCATATCTTTCCACATCAACAAAGTATTGGACTAGCTCCCGTTTCAACTGACTCACTGTAGTCATTTCACGCACACACAAATGTTAACAAAACCCAAGATCTCCTCCAAATTATTTCTCAATTTCTTCCCATCATCAATCCTACATCCTTCAAGTCAAAAAGCATCACTGCAACATTGCAAACACCTCAAAGAACAACATCTACCTCAATTTCCAAGTCAACAACGGCATCTATCCAACAACTTTGAGATCTCTGGATATTGTACACAACGGCTTCTACCAATTTCACCTCAATGGCGAATATTCGAAGCACAACTCAACATCTTTACAAAGGCTCACAATATGAGGCCATCTCCCTCGTTCGACAAGCCCTGGGTCTTCCTTCATCCAAAATCTCAGACAAAAAGTACAACGTCAAAGGTACGCTCCATTCTCGCCGACTTTAGCAGCTGAGACGTTGTGCACTTGCAATTCCTAAATTGCTTCTTGTCCTCGGGACTCCCCCGTCCTTTTTGGCATTTGTAAAATACCAACACCATTACAGACGCAGTCTTCGTCTCCATCGACTTCGAAAATGTCCAGAAGCTTATCCAGGATCCTGATGAGCCATACCTAAAAACGCAAATGGGAGTCTGTATTCTCGACACTCAAAAAATCAGCACATCGCCAGCCGATACAGTTCTCCAAACCTACAACTTCACCACCGGCCTCTGGACAGACCGGGACGATCATTTCTCTTTCGGTCACACCGAACTATCAACTATTCGACAACTCACTTCTGAGCTCGAAAATCTCATCGACAGAAAAAGAAATATCATTCTTCTTGCTCACAGCATTTCCTGCGAGCTCACCATCCTCAGAAAATTGGGCTTTGATCTCGACACCGGCATCTCGGCGATCATCGACACTCAACAATTTATGAGAGAAATCATCCCAACTGAGGACGGATTGGTCAAAACTCTCGAGTCCTTGCTCGACAGCCTGGACATCAAACACAAAAATCTGCACGTCGGAGGAAACGATGCAAACTTCACCATGAAAGCACTCATGCTACTCGTCGTCAGCTCTTTCAAGGACGACTTGAAGAAAAACAACATCTTGGACGAAAATGTCCGAGAGAGACTGCAACATATCGGCAACATCGGAAAGGCAAAAATACCATCAGAAAAGGTCTCGAGTCCTCGACTCGCAACCAAACAATCACCTCTTCAGGCCTCGCTTGAAAAAACCGCCGCCGTTCTTCAGCACAAAATCACTCAGGCTTCGTTTCCAAGCGACGCCGCCATTCTTGACCACAAAACCAAACTGTTGAAGCAACTCCAAAACCTGCAAAAAATTCCCGGCCAGCAACCACAAGGCCAGCAACCATTGCCAACATACCAACAATATCCAGTTCAATCTTGCCACGTCCAAGTTCCGTACGGATATCAAAACCTCGGCATGGTAAGAGAGAAATTTGTCAGAGAATGGATTGGCATCAGTACTGACACATTTCACAGCATGCGGCATATCAACAAATGCAGTACCAACAAGTCATGTACGTCTATCAATACGCAATCTAATTGCACGACATATTTCAATATTGTCCTTGGAAAACAACACAAAAAAAACCATCAATTCGACACATCATCGAATTCACATCTATTGCCACGAAGAAGGCCACCGAGAACAACATCTCACCAAACAAAACAACGAAGTCCTGTTCAAATGCACCACTCCAACAACGAGATTCTCAACAAAATTCGCATCAATTGGCCTGCGATACTTCCTCTTCCGCTCAACACACCAGAGACACACCAAACCCACCAAACAAAAGCGGCACCGTCTGCCAGCAAAACAATTTCAAAATTCATTGTGCGTGCCTCTTCCTCGCCTACGACATCTGACTCACACATTTATAGAAATGCGTCCAAAAAAAGAGAGTGGGAGAGCACAGACTCGGGCCCAGCAAACAAGGAGGTTGATTACATCAACACCATCTGAGCCGAAACTCAAATTCAAATGCCGAAGGAGAACCCGAAATGATAGAAGCGGGTCAAAATGAAAACAACGAGTAAGCAAATGGTTCGTGGACTTGTGTGATCTTGCGAGCTGACAGGTTTAGACAAAAAATCGAGGAAATGAGGGTCACGGGAATTGACTGAGTCAAGCTCGAAACTACCGGAGCGGAGGGGCACTCTTGTATTGCGGTGTGGAAATCCACAGGGATGCCGAACCTTCTTGAATAGGATGTAGGCACCACGAGATTTATCTCGTTGCAGGAGTTAATGAGGCCCATGGAAGACAGAGCCCATACTTCAGTTGAGGAAAATACCATTGATTGGTAACTCGTCCCATTCCGCTCTCCCGTGACACATTACATTCTTCTTCTCTCCAAGATTCGAGTGCGTCTTTCCTTATTCCTTATTCTCTATGCTCATCAACTTTTGGAACAAATGCCCACGTGACACTCATCACAACAATAAGGCCTGCAACAATCGGAGGCAAGACTTTGACGCCAGCGTGAGAAGCGATAACTCCGATCAACGAGGGAAAGATCGCTCCACCCGCTTGAGCCATAACAAAGATCATTCCTGTAGATATCAGTGACTTCTCCGAGACTGTGTGTCAAGAAAACTCACCTAGAGCCGCAGGTTGAAGGTGCTTCGGGAATATTTTCGAAGCTACAGAGACACCCTATGATATCTGTTGGTATGAATTCACAGAGCAAAAGAAGACTCGCTTACAGCAGCAAAGAAAGGCCCCAGGAAGAACCCCATAATGCTAAACATCGCAATACTCGAAATCAGGTTCGGCACGAGCCAGAACACCAATTGCAGCGCAAAACATATGCCAGCATAAAGCAAAAGCATCCTTCTTTCTCCGTATCGATGGGTCGGTTCCGCAAGCAGAAGTCTCCCAAGGAAAATGCCACCGTAAGAACCAGACGGCACATATCCCATCTCCGAGAGCTCACCATGTCGGACACGGACGAGAAATTCGACAATCCAGCCGCCAGATGTAGTGCAAACACCGAGATAGAAGAAGAAGAACAGACAAAACACCCAGAGATCGCGGATCTTGAGCATTTGTTTGACTTCCGATGCAGCGGCTCTGCTCCTGCCTTCTCTCTCGGGATCTGATAACCCTTCTTGGTCGATAATTTGCGACAAGTGGACGGAGTCGCGAAAGGCCACTAGAACCAAGGCCAGGTTCGTGACGCTCAATCCAAGTGGAAAGAGGTAGAAGAGCATCCATTTTCCGTTCTCGTGCTGGGTCTTTACCGCAATAGATGTAGCGACAAAAGGACTGATTAACAACCCCAACCCGTAACAAGCGTGAATGAATCCCAACCATCGATGCGCTCCCTTGACGGTCGACACGAAGGTGTTTGCGTGCGAATCTTGGTACGCCTGGCCGAGGCCAGACATGAAGAATGTGACGACATACAACGCGAAAGGCGGAGTCCACGCTCGTAAGGTGTGAGGTATGACCTGGATCAAAGCGCCAATTGCAAGGAGAGTACCGAGTGGGAAAAGCTTGGTGAGATGTGTATTGGTGAGTGCGCAGACAAGCCAGCCGAGGAAGGTCGTGAAGTATATGAGTGAGATCATGGAAGTTGAGATGTGGTAGGTGGAGAGCATGTACGGGATCAGGGCGCCGAGTGAGCCATCGTTGATGCCGGCGACGAGAAAGGATACTCCTGAGCTGAGGAGCTTGAGGAGCGGGAGAGGAGGTGATATGTTCTCCGCATCTGTGATATTTGTTGGAGATGTTGGTTCTTCGGTAACGCCCTCAATGGCAAGGTTTCGAACTTGTAACTCGATGGGTTCTTGTGAGGCCTTGATGTCGTTTGATTTGACATTGTGCTCGGTTTTCTGTAAAGAGGACATGATGCAACATTGGCTATAAAACGATGATAAAGATGAGGTGTACTGTTCGCACTTGATCTCAGTCGCTTTGCTTAGAACAAGAAATAAGAACCGAATATATTTGGTTCATAGTCCGCACGTCTCGCCCACTTGGACGAAAGCTTGTCATTATAAAGATCGTCGCCAGGATCAACTGAAGGTGGGAGTGTTGTGGTTAAACTTCGGCATCTTGGCGCGCCACCGGCCCGGAATTCCTACAGCAAGACGATCATGAGAGCACCTGCATGGTAAGCAGAGTTCATTCCGAGTGGCCAAAAGCAGATGATGTTCAGAAAAGGTAAACGAGGAGAGCAGATGTCTCCCGAAGATAATCCGCGAACAAGTACTAGCGCTCTCGAAAGCGGGCAAGCGGGGAAATAGAGGAAGCACACGAATCTGAACTTTCGTCTGGTTCCTCCTCTTCCTATGTTACGATCTAATTACACAGAATTATGTCTCACCCTCGGTTTGAACTCTATGGGTATCTTTTCTACCAGCAAGAAGGTTTTCAGATCTTCCCATTTCACAGCTTTGCCTGCCGCTTCCACATCAAATGTCCACAAGATCCTGCAAAGAATCAAACGCATTTCCGCCCATGCCAAATGCTTTCCCATACACGACCTAGGTCCTACGCTGAAAGCTTGTACGGCCTGCCGCTGGCCATGGAAGAAAGGAGAAGCTTTCTCTGTTGACGCTGGTAGCCAGCGCTCGGGAATGAAGGATCCAGATTCGTGAAAGTAGGTTGGATCACGGAAAAGCGTCCATTGTTGTAGCGATATGCTGGTCTGGAACCTAGTCAGACGAAGAAATAATCAGAAGAAAAGAGGCAAGACTTACTCCTCCGGGTAGCCATGCGCCACAGATAGTATCGCCATGGTTCGGAACTACTCTTGGAAGCATGACTGGAATCGGTGGACACAGTCGTAAGCCTTCGTTTAAAACTGCATTCAGATATTCAAGGGTCTGTGTTGTCTGGCAATTGATTTGCTCTTCCTTCTTGAAAGCTTCTCGTATTTCCTCAACTAAGATTTGCATTTTATCGGGATGAGCTGCCAAGTAATTCAGTGTTCCACTCAAAGCTGTTGCTGTAGTTTCGCTTCCGGCGGTTGTGAGGAATACCAATGTCGCTTGAATCTCTTCAAGTGTCATCCCTCCTTTATCCTTGTTATGCTTGACAATATGCGACATGAGATCCGGTCTCCCCACTCCATCCAAGTCGACGTTCGACCTTATGTTCGATTAGACTGATATGATCTTTCGCCATCTGTTTGAGGGAAGGGGGGATGCATTTCATGAGGAGGAAGTCGATGAGGGGATAGAAACGAGCGGCGATGATGAAGGACGCAGCTTTAACACTTTTGAACAAAATTGTGATCCATGGATGATACTTTGAGTGTTGGAGACAGTCAAACGACTCGCCGTAAGCAAGGTCGCCAAAAATGTCGAATGTGGTGTAGTTGAACCACGGCACCATATCGACCACTGCTCCTGCTGGACTTTCAGCTACCTGGTCTTTCAACTTGTCGATCAACAAAGCAACATATTTCTGCACTGTAGGTTCTTGCAATTTCAGCGCCCTCTGAGTCAGACCGTGACTGAGAATCTTCTTCATCCGCGAATGATCCCTGGGGCCTGCGCTTAGCAAAGACTCGGCTTGTCCAGGCTGCTTTCCCCACCAGACAGGGTCTTTCTGGTATTGCGGATGACCAGGTCTGCCTTGGAATATCTCGGTCCATGCATCGATATGGGCAAACGATAGGGAACATTCGCTAAGCAGGGCAATAAATGCAAGTCCAAGACCTGCTATCACATTATGTACTCCATCGAAACACATCTTGGGTTGGATCACAGCAGCATCGAATTCAAGGGTCGAAGAAACAGGAATTTGTATTAGAGTACCTCTTTTGTAATCTGTCTATAGCCTAATAATGGATTTCCAACTGTTGGTCCTGTGTCAATGGCGGTAATGGACAGAGTAATGACTTTCCACTACACTCATGCTGTACGACCAACATTTCAAACAATATTTTAGCGAACTTGCTTACCCGATTGGAAATTGATCTTTGCACTCGGCAAGATTAAACCTACAATTGCTTGTCAGGAAAACTCGCTGTTGTTGGTCGCCTCTGAAGTCATTGGCCCATTACCGAAAGCGCTACTGAACTCTGACTTCATCCCAATTTCTCGGGCTCGTCTGTACCATCTTTCTCTCATAGCGATGCTCGAACCCTTCCGCCAACAGGAAAAATCCTTCCTGAAACTCCACATCATGAAATCATTGCGAGCTGTTCATTGGAGCATGCTCTCAACATGGAATGAGTCAGCACCTGTGCTGTCCAAGATCTTCTTTAGGATCCGTCCAGCGTCTTGGCATAAGCAGCTTGCAACTCAACCCAAGCCGGAGGCCTTGGCAGCAGGAGCGATAAGAACGTCAATCCAATCCTTTCGCACGTGGAATCCAGAGTCTTTGAATTTATCAGAATAGCGCAAGGACGCAGGTACGCCACATCAAAGTGATCCGACACTGTGGTTGAACCCCTCTCTGCAGTTCTTCCTTCAAAGTGATCGGCGAATCCGACAGATCCAGGGTTATGATAAGCAACAAGTGTACCATTTTAATGCACGTGGGTTGTACTATACGTTCAGATGGAAGCAGCCGCTCAAATACCTCAATATAGCTGCATATAATATATGCATGCCAAGATGCATGTCCTCATCCCGCAGAAGTGACTGGGAGAGCTTCGAAAGCTTCGAAAGCTATATAACCGAAAAGGTGCACCTCCTCTACAACAGTTTCTAGCATAATTGTAGTCAATTGATGATTATCTGATTCATATACCATGCAGTCGTTCTTCAAGTTGACTGCTGCGGTCTTGCTGGCAGGTACTGTTTTGGCTGTGCCTTTAGGTCCAGGCCAGCATGCAATCAATTATAATGTTGATGTCGGCGTGCGACCGTATTACATTATCAATAACATGACGGATGGCGCTCTCAAGGAGACCCTTACTGCATGCGAGAACAACAAAAAGGAGATCACTCAATTCACAATTGGTCACCGTGGAGGCGGCACACTTCAATTCCCCGAGGAAACTGTAGAGTCTACAATGGCAGGTGCACGAATGGGAGCCGGTATATGACTCATTCTCCTCACTTTGTCTTGTTTTGAGACGACATTGACAGCATCAGGTATATTGGAATGTGACGTGAGCTTCACCAAAGATCGCGGACTTGTCTGCCGTCATTCGCTCTGCGATCTCCACACCACGACGAACATTCTACTCCATCCAGATCTCGCCCAGAAGTGTGTAGTCCCATTTACACCCGCGAATGGAACATCACCAGCAAATGCCGTCTGCTGCACAAGCGACATCACAACTGCAGAATACCTAACTCTATGCGGCAAGCAAGACGGGTTCAATGCTAGCGCCAAGAACGTCAAAGACTATCAATATGGCACCCCCACATGGAGAACCGAGCTCTATGATACGTGCGGCACTGTGATGACTCTCGATAGTTACATCACTCTCGTCGAATCTCTCCCAGGTTACCGCAACTTTACTCCCGAATTGAAGACTCCTCCTGCTCCATACGTTATCATGCCATTCAATGGCTACACCCAGGAACAGTACGCTCGCGATATGCTCAACACATTCATCAACCGAGGAATTGACCCCAGCCGTGTATATGCACAATCCTTCAACCCCCCCGATATCTTCCAATGGATCAAAGAATACCCCGACTTTGCGAAACAGGCCATCTACCTCGACGAAGATGGCGATACTCCAGCGACGTTAACAAATGCAACCGCTAGACTTTCAAGTCTCGCTGCACAAGGCGTCAAGATTATCGGTCCTCCCTTTGGATACTTGCTGAACACCACAGCTGACAATACGACCATCGTTCCTAGTGATTACGCTAAGGTCGCGAAGCAATCGGGTCTGGACATCATTGCCTGGACATTCGAGCGTTCGGGTCCGTTGGCAAACGTTGCTGCCACGGGAGAGTATTACTATAGCGATATCGCTGGGGCGATTCATTATGATGGGCAGCTGTATGAAGTTCTGGATGTGCTGGGGAGACAGATTGGCATCAGGGCTATGTTCACGGATTGGGCTGCAACGGTCACTTATTACGCCAATTGCATGGGGCTGTAGATTAAAAAAGTGGCGTTAAATGACTTATAGAATGATGTAGAATGAGCAATGAATGAAATAATGATTGTTTATGATGCTGTTCTACTAAGTCAGGCTTGCGAATAAGACACAGCTCCTAAAATAAGAGAGCTGCGCGAATCTCTCCCTAGCAGCGAACGACCACCAGGCCGGCAATTCCAAATCGCATTAAAGCAAAAACACAATAGCAAGCCGCCGCCTATATCTTTAATGATGAAGTGTCCTGATTCTTCCTAATTTGACTGGCAACATGTCGTACTCTAAGAAAGCAGAATATCAGCATGGTGTTCATTCCCGGCAATCTTGACTCACAACACAAATAGTGTTCGGTTGCTTCGAAAATGTCAGTATAGCGCTATCAACTTGATCAGAAGGCACTTACCGGGCACGGGATTCCAAGGGGACACTCGCCCACTGGGGTAGTGCCTTCAGGGCAGGTGCCTTGTGCCAGAGCGCCGCTGGCGAAAGCGAATATTGGGAGGATGACTGTACTTGGACGCATGTTCTCGGTAGTAGAAATTGCGCAAATGATTCAACTTAATATTCGTGAGAGATGAGGTGGTTTTGTTGAACTTGCAAGCTGGAATCGAGCAGACAATGAGACTTAAATAATATTTATTGGAAGAGAAATGTTCATTGCGTTCTGATGAGGGATTGACATAAATTAAGAACGTTCGAGTCTAGTTCTTACCTTTAAAAAATGTAAATGAGCCGAGTAGGGTCGTTCTATTGGGTCTTTCGTAAGCGTAAAGAACATAAAAATTTCTCTGCCACCTACTACAACCTAGAGGCCGAATTCGTACATGATCATCTGTCTCTTACTACCACCATATTTTGGCCTATTGGCTCGTATGTACAGCTGGGTTGATTACTCGACGAGCACCGCAAGTTAGACAAAAACCGAGAGACTATTAAACCAAGTAGAAACGGTGCATTGGCTCTTTCGTATGTAAGCAGCTAAATTCATTGGCGGCACTGGTAATGGAACAAGGGTAGTACACGTAGAACACGATGGCGAGAAAGACGCACATTTGCTGCAAATCGTTGTCTTGCCACTTCGTCTAGCGAAGAATGTCAGGTTGAGACTCAGTTTCCATGTGTCACAATCAGCACAACATAAGCGATCTCGAAAGCGGGGCAATCGCAGGAAGAATGGATTGCAAAGAATTGTAATGTCTCTCTCGGTCTTCGTCTCCTCTAAAGTTTGATGAGTATTAGAAATCTTATCTCGTGGAAATGGAAAAAAATGACAATGGTGTCGTCGTTTCCGAACTATATGAGTTGCCGCTGTTCTTGCCCCTGAGATAAGCGAACCACGCGAACCGCGCAAACCGTGCGGATCGCGCTGTTTGCGCGAATCGCCGGGGAAGCGCATTCAGCGATAGGACTCTGTCACAATTTCCGGTCGATGGCAAGTAACAAGGGACAGTATTTGTAGATGACTAGAATTTATTCATGACATCATGGGAAACTTCTTTCTGGTTTCTTCCCAAAGGAATCCAAAGGAAAGCTCCGACAGCGGGAAGGAGTTCTCATCGCTACCTGTTCATCTGTTCCGCATCCGGCCCAACACCTCATCTTCTTCAACAAAACCCCTCTCTCACAACAGAAACGCTCGTCCATAAGACAAGACACTTAGACCAGATCCCAGCAAATAAAGCTTCCCGGGTCACGTACAGGCTGGTAAATCAGTCAGTCAGTCAGTCATCAGTCGAGCTTATTCTCCAACTGATTGACTGATTATAATGAAGGCATCCAACTGACTCACTGATATCCACTTATCAGTCGCTGATCAGTCAAGAAACGTGACTTTTAACTAGTAAATATTTTTATTATATTTTTTAAATATAATATAAATAAATATCTAATATTTAAACTATATTTTTATCTTAATTTAAACAATTATCTACAAGTGTTCATTTAAAAAGTAAATTTTCATGTTTTTCAAAATATTCAAATATATCAAAAAACTAGGAAAAAACTAGGATTTTAAGCCAAAAATTGTTTTTTTAATACTAAAAATAAACCTTCTCAAATATCTCCCAACTTATAAGCAACTGTCAGTTGAGCTTTTGGCTAACTGATAGACTGACATCATTTAAAATCGCTAACTGATTGGCTTTAACTGATCACTTATCAGTCGACTGATCAGCTAGCTGACTGCTTTACCAGCTTGGTCACGTACAACCATATGCTCCGCCGTCCCGGCATCATTATTTAGCGTCTTCTGCCCAAAACTCACAAAGAAATCCCCAAACGACCAATTATACGGACTACTCGTAGTAACCAACCTCGCATCCGCAGTCACCAGCCCCAAATACTGCGGGTTCGAGCCTCCCGCATTGCTCGCCAGTTCAATCGTAATCGGATCCGAGCGATTGAGGACCGTCGTATCGCCGGCGGCGAAATTGGTGCCGCGGATCACGAACTTGGTGCGGTAAGTTGAGTTGGTGACTTGGATGCTGGAGCCGTCGAGGTGCCAGTACTCGGCGGGGTTGAGCTTGTTGCGGATGAAGACCGCGCAGCCGTTGGTCCAGTCGACGGTTGCTTGCTGGGGAAGTGCGAGGCAGCCTGCTTCGTTGGTGTAGGTCGTGATGCGGGTGCACATGATGTTCTGGCCTTGAGGTTGGGCGTATTGGAGGATACTCATGAAGGAATCTTGGGCTGGAAATTTCGATCATGTGTTAGCCGAGTTCACGATAACACCTGTGATGAAACTTACCATTCGTTCCGTTGAATTGCCAGAATTGAGGACCGTTGCGGTTTAGGTAGGAGAAGAAATTGGTGCCTTTGGAGTATTGCCAGGTGGCCATGAAGCGCCAGAACTCATCGGCCTCCCATCTGTTCCTGAAGACGCAAAGGTAGCGGCCATAGGAAGAGTTGGCATAATCGTAACCGGTGGCCTTTTGGTTGGTGTACTTGGCGTACACGTAATAGAGTCCTTCAGATGACATCTTTACAGAGAGGATAATTGAATTGAGTACAGTGTTCTTTTGTGTATATGATGAGAGTCGACAAGGAACTGAGTTTGATTTTCAATATAATCCCTTGGGACATGATTTACTTTTATATTTCGATGTAAGATCGGACAGGAGCCACTTGTCATCTTAAGATCCTACATACTGATCACATCTGCCTGCATGTATTCCTCATAGATCTCATGACTTGACACTCCCAAATTTGAATCATAGAGTCGCGCAATGCAGCACATGATTAGTATACATACTTTCGTGTTTCTCAACCCTGCTATGTGGTGATAATTGCAGACGCGATAGTTCAAACATGTTGATATCATAGGATCAGATTGTCTCTCGCCGACAAGATTTGCCCGCCACATATACCGCCAAAGAGACTTCTTAGCTAGGCGTAAGGTCACTTGATTTCTGTATGCATGCAAGAGTACGTACTTTAAAAACAACTACTGAAGACATCATTGCAACGTGACTCCCTCAAATAATCTTCAAACTCGCAATGTCTACGTATCACGCATATATTTCTTTTGACATGTCGCTCGTTGTCCGAGATATACTATGTGATTCAGGTGAGACTTCGTCCTGGATTACATCTTAACCAACAATTCCAAAAAGTGCAAGACAGTGACTCTCGCTTTTCTTATTGGAACTCGGCAAGTAGCCAACATTTTCGGGGAGGAGAAACCCGGGTCGCACCGTCCCGATACCATTGGTTTTCTGCATGTGTTTCACTGCCATGCAACGAGTGAATACCATTAAGACATGTCTTGGGACTTTAGATACGTGAATTGAGACCCAGGAAGTTCCCGCAGCCGGGCCATCAGGCGCCACTGAAGAGGGGTACCGAAGTCCGAGGACATTGTCCTCTGTGCTTTACTATGCATGCATTCGAAGAAGCATTCATTGCCATTTTGCTTCAGCCGATATTCCAGAATACCAGCACAAGCTTTACGTCTAGAGACCCATAATGGACTGAAATCGCAGGCCGAGGACATGAAGCACAGTGCGAATGATAAAGCTTTCTACATCGCGCTAGAACCAAGCGATCGAATATCTGTGGAGCGGAACACACCTGGAACTATCTGCATGTAAGTCTCATTGAAACAGTTCCAGTTGGTCCATCACGTTACACAACGTCATCTCTCCCTCAGGACCAAAGACATGTATGTGCTCATGATGCGATGGTCTAGATTGAGGTCTCCGTCTTCGACTTATACATGCATAAGTAACACGCGCGTCAGCTTCTGCATTCCAGATGAGGGCTTTGATAAATCATCGCGCAAGGATCCATCCTTCGGACCATCCGAACCACGACGCGCCAGATGATTGACAGTGCCCCCAGAAATGAGAAAACAGCATTGGCTAACTTGAATGAATACCTCGCATTATTGGAGCAGTGCATATCAAACATTGAAAGTGCTCAAAACTCGACGAATGGTTCATTGCTCGGTGAAAAAACTCGATCCATCGAGGTACGTGACAAAGTCAAACCGCATCAAGACAAGATAAGAAAATAAAACTAACACGCGTCTCCCGTCCTCTAAAAGAACGAGACGAGAAACTTCTCGCAAGGAATATTTTGAGTTGGGCAATACTTCACGCTTAGTCTTAGCATATTTCGATGAATCTCCTCACATTAGAAAACGACACCTTGGCCGAACTTTTCGCCAATATATTAACATACTATCCTATCCTCTCGTGTATGTACCATCTTCCATATTGTGTGCTTGCTGCCTAAACTCCCTGCTGTGTTGCCGACCTTTTTGTACTATTCCAACCCTTTCTAGGTTGAATGTCTATATACAATCTGTGTCGTTTTCTGTACAATCCGACGCCATTTTGTACAATTGCTTTCCAAACTTTTGGATCACTATATACAACCTCACTTCACCCCTTTTAGGAGTAATGTCCTCAGCTCTAGGTGATCAGACAATTCTGTAAGCGATCTTCGCAATGAAGAAGCAGCTGATACCAAAGACCAGTAGTCCCGCAGCCAGGCACCAAAACCAAGTTAGATCACCCTCATACTCTTGCCCCGGAACCCAGACGTTCATACCCCAGAGACCCGTGATGATATTCATAGGCAAGACGATTGTGCCTAGAACTGTAAGTTTTCCCAGCACGTCGGCGGTTTGTTCTTGTCGCTCGTTCATGCGGATATTGATTTGTGCTAGATAGTTAGCATGTGAACGTGCAAGTATTCTATGTCTGGTTAGTACAGATCTTCAAAGGGTAGGAGAAAACCAACTTCTCGTAGTGCGATAGATTGCCAGTCATGGTGATGATATGGTCCTGAATATCGCCAAGATATAACCCAATCTCACTTCTCGGGGCAACTTCCCAGTGTTCGTTGCAACGCTTGGCGAATCCCTTGATAACATCTGCCTTGTTTCCCAGCAGGCGGTATAGTCCCATGACTTTCTTTCTGCAATCTCCGACCCGACGCAACATATCGCCACCACTTTCACCCGATGTACCATCTCCTCCTTCGGATCGTTTCTCGTTGTCTTTGTTATCATGTTTCTCTTCCGCAGATGGAGAGTGGAGTTTGAGAATTGCATCATCAATATCATCGACCTCATCTTCAATGCTTTGGATCAAAGGTGCAAAGACATCAGTGATGTCGTCAATGATGGCATAAGAGATCCAGTCAGATGACAGAAGCAGATAGTCTTTCAGCTGGCGAATACGTCGACGAACATTTGCAGGATGTGGCGTCATGGAAAAGTGAAAACTTATAACACCTTCTCGAAATACAACAACGTACATGTTGACAGGTTCCAGGAAGTCCTCGTTGTTCATATCTTGTTCGAAGGAACGATAATTTACGAAGTAGTAGTTGCGGAAAAGTTCGACCTTCTCACGAGCTTCTTGCATCATGATATCCTCTGCTGTTAGAGGATGGATGCCAAATGTTTTAGACAGTACTTTCATCTCAGCATCAGTCGGCGAAAGTACGTCAAGCCACCATGTTGGACGTTCACCATAACGTTTGGTCTTTTCCGCTTGCATGTTTGGGCCTGCAGATGCCGGAGGTGGAGACTTTATCCCTCGGTTCGGCGTTACGCCTCCAGAAGACTCTCTGGAATTGATCTTTCCATCGCCTCCAGTAACGGAACCACCACGTCTCGACTCGGGCCTTCCTGGTTGATCAATGACCGAACCTTGACGTGTGGGTACTCTTGAGTCTCCATTTGCTCCAGGGAAGTGACGAAGGTAGGCATCATCTGCACGTGGTGGTCCTTCCTCTTCCTCTGATTCTGAGCTGTCAGTCAACTCCGGTGGATCTGGGACGAAAAGTTCTCTGAAACTTTGACCAGGCTGGATGAGTTCTGATATAGTCGAGCTATGAATCGTACTTTGAAACTCCTCATTGAAATATGTGAACCGGTATGGGGCGTCATCCTCGGCTCTATGCCACCCCCTGTGAATTGGTCGCAGACGTCCCCCAATCAATTGTGGCTCCGTGATCTTCTTCGCTCTGCGTTCTTCACTTCTGCCTTCCTTCTCAAATCTACTCCATTCATCGAGCATGGCTAGGTCTGGCCACTTGCTTCGTCTTCGTCGTGGCCCGTTATCCCGCCTGTATGGTTCGCCTTCTCGTCTGTGCATATCCTCATCTGCCAACTCGGACATACCTTCTATAGGAAAGCATACATCCTCCTCGGCCTGCAAAGCTATTGTATGTCTGCGTCCGTCATATGCAGAGTCTTTTCTTGGCGATCCCGGCAATGATCTCTCATCGATCGCATTCTCGTTGGCATCGTCCCGGTCAAGGTCGGGGTTTGGCTCAAAGTCATCCCTGACCATCATATCCCCAAAACTCATGTCCCTGGAGGCACTGAGCCTGGGGCTACCAGGCATCGAGGGAGGGTAGTTAACATTATACTGTTCGCTCTCGTGGGGAAACGCTGGACTTTGCCTATCGAATATCGTTCTCTTCTTATTGCTCCTAGATGAGGACTTGCTCGAGGCTCGGCGATTATCCCGCGATTTTGGAAGACTGACCTGAGAGCCATCCATGCCACCATATCCTAAAGCTGCCGCTGAGCTTTTTGACCTTGCTGAAGAGGATATGAGTGGAGCCCTCTCATCATCTGGAGCCTCATCCTGCTCATTGTTGTCTTTTCTTGAACTCCTTGGTCGTCGAGTATCGGCATCAGACGTAAAAGGATTTTGGTATTGTGGTCGATACGAGGTTGGAGTTTCGTACATAGATCCTCCAAATGCGCTCTGGCCCATAACAGAGGATCTTCGAGGTCGCATGCTCTGCTGGTCTCTGTGTACACGAATTAGTCCAATTTGAAGCATATTCTCAAGTCCTAATACCTATGGTCGAGTAGAGCTTCACTCTCGATGCTAGTATTGCTTAAGTTCCGCCCCTGTAGTCTATAGAAACTGGCCCTAGCAGCGTTTCCTGTACCACTTGCTCGATATGATTGTGTATTTTCCGGTAAACCATGCCCTTCTTCAGTCGACGCCGCGAATGACTGCCTTCTCGCACGTTTTTTCTTCCCCGCTCGATGATTTCTCCTCTTCTTCGGGATTCCTGGCCCAGAGACCTCTGGCCTCAGCGTCGCATTCGAGGTACTTGGCCCTTGAGCACCTTGCAGAGCAGTGGGCTCTGGTCTTTGAGGCGGCGCTGCAGAGTGATTCGAAGGCGAGGGCTCTGTGTCTCGAGAAGGATGTGGTGTCGACATGTTGTTAACCTACGTTGCTTGTCTCAGTCGTCGTGAGGCTTTGCGGCACTGACGTGGTGCTGAAAGAAACGATGCAGGTCTGCCAGGGCATCTGAGATTTTTCGAGGTGGATCTCTTATCTTATTCGAGGAATGAGGGTTTTGCGATGGCAATGACTAGGTACTTTGTATGCGCTAGTATGAGCCGGCGCCTTGGTCTTTTGGTCATAACAGAAGTGCGACGTTAGACGCTGTGCAACACATTCAATTGAAAGATTGAAGGGGAATACCGATAGCAAATGCTCAGTTGTGATGCAAGCGACGAAGAATGCTGTTGTCAATGGATGGGGATTGGAGGTATGAGCTGTTCGTTGTCAGCCTTGTAAAAAATGCGAGTTTGAGAAGGCACGTCATCATGCTGAGCATTTCATTGGCTGTGTTTCGGTCTCGTGCGCTCTTTCCTTTTCGGTGTCTCATTCATCCCACTCTTGACACTCTTTGAGCCTCTGACGTCGACTTCTTGTCTATCATTTATACCTATACCGGTCGGACCTGCAGCCGTCAGGGGTCGGCTGTGAGGATATACTCGTAAGTTGAGCTGACCTCGCAGATGCTGGAGTCACCGTCAAGCCACTGAGCTTTTCCCGTTGATTTTTATTGCTTTTTGGTCACGCGGCAGCTTATCGGTATCGTGTCATGTCACAACGTGGGCTTACTCCGAGACAATGTCTCATTACTCTCCGCGGGTTGGACGTTGAAACTGCTGTGTTCAGAATTAAGCATTGTGTGTCGAATCACAGTAATCTGTTTGTGCTACTAAGGAACGCTGAACCAACAAGACCTTATCAAGTCCTCTCATTCCCCTTCTCGAATCACTTGAAACTTCAAGATATCCTCGATTTCTATATGCTGGTTCTTCTGGTTATTGAATTAGGGGGCTATTAGCATGCGAGCCTCAACGACTCTCAAGCTGGTATCGGGAATATGTAATTAGCGAAGTCTGAAGGTATGCTGGAAGAGCTTTTCTTTACCTTTGATAACCCTTGCCTAGCACACAATACAAAGGGCTTGTGTTCGTGTCGGCATTCGAAACCCCCTACTGAATCCGAGCTCTACATGCTATCAATCAAAAAATGAACTATGTATCAACGGTCAAGGTTTCGAGGTCAAGCTCATGCGTACGCTGGAAGACAATCGAACCGTCATCAAAGTACAAAAACAAACAGCATCTCCCCTGCCTCCATTCATCCGGCCAGGCAAACGAACATCGAGTCGCTGCCAGGACCGACTTCAACTTTAACTTTGTCACTCTGGAAAAGTTCACTGGCAATCCTCGATCGTCTTTATGTCTCATGCCTTCGCCACGGCGCATTTCCACACTGCAAGGTCGAAGAAAGAGAACATGCACGTGATAGCATATCACATGACATACTGCTATCTCTTTCTCCACTTCGCCGACCCGAGTGGGCATCCGAACGGAACCATAATCAGGAACCATCGGTATGCATTCGTCGGTAAGGCACATCGGTTTCCAAGAACGAACTTGTGTTGTTCAAGAAAGTTCAGAACGGGCCGGGTGGCGCTTATCCGTTACCTGATTCACCTCGCACGGCCCAACATTTCCTTCTTGGATTCCATTCAAGTTTATTCCAACACACTTGATGTGTTTCAGATGGCAGATCAATAGCTTATGTTGAAGGCTGTCATGTCTTCTAAACCAATGCGGGGACAAGACTTAACCTTCGGACGAAGATCTTCGCCAGGGTTTATGCTTAAAACCTGGGGTGTTCAGGGGTGCTATGGTTTCGGGCACAATAATGGGTGTCAGGTACGCAAGAAGTCGAAGCGTGCATGAGTTATGCGACATCATTGAAGCCTTCGAAGCAGTGCAAATTCTTCCCATTTCAATCTGTTATTTTGTGATGAGAAGTTGTTCTTCGAAACCGCCTTGGGGCAAGCTCAAGTGTCGATTGTTAGTGTCAATTTTTAGCGATCTTTTGAGTTTCTATCCCACTACACATTTTCTTCAAAAGTTCCGTTCGGATGATTTATCGCATAATCTGGGGTTCATCTGAAGAGGTATGCTTTATGCCAAGGAAACCTGGACAGTCTCGGCTCTCTCAACGCCTGCCGGCATTCCTGCAAGTCAAGCAATGCAGGGGAATAGAAGATCGTAAGAACATGGTCGTTGACGACAATTGGGCGGATGCACAATTATGATCTCCATCTTTCAACCCCTTCCCCACTTCTTGACCTGCATGTTCAGGCGCGGAAAACCCACCTGGCAGTTCCTCTCGAGCTTCTCACATTCACTGCCTGCCATCGCATAATGATGTACGAGCGCTCGCAAAATATGTTGAACTAGTTTTGTATTTCATTTCTTAATGCTTAAGTCATCTCTTCCTCCTCTTCTTCTTCCCGACACTCCTCTTCATCCTTTTCCAGCATTATTGTGAACGATTTAAGATTTTCACACACTGCAAATTCGATCTATGAAGATACGAATCAGAACCAAACCGAAGAGTAGGACGAATAGACCATCATGAGCTTCACAGACCTGGAAGATGTTGAAATTCAGCAAGAATCGACTCGAAGAGCTCTTATCTCCAGCAGGCCTTTTTGGCTTACGATGTCACGAGTTCTGCAATTGGTATGAGATTTCCATAATGGCCAACTGCTTGTGTGCACTGTATGCTGATGACGATAAGCTGCTTGCATTCACCAATCTCATTCTGACGGGTTATGCTGTGTCGATATTCGGCGGCGACTTTGTAAGTTCAAGCTTACTAGACAAATTGAATACTGCTAACATCATTGTAGTTCCATACTTTTGGTAAGACAATCAATTAATATCACGAGCTAGACACTTATACATATCAGGAATCAGCTTCTTAGCTTTCGTGTGGACTGTGGTTTTCATGCTCTACGTATGTCTCAGCCACATCGCTGGGTCGTTCAACTGTTAATCATCTATCAGATCTTCATCACCCCAGAACGAGCTCCAAAACTTTATTTCTACCGAGTCCATATGTCAGTCAACATCCGTGCTTGACAGCAGCAGACGCTGACATACCCAGTATTCTTGAGATTATCACCACAGCATTCTGGATTGTGACTCTCGCTCTTCTCGCCTGGGAATGCCAAACCTGGGACGCTGCGGAAGATGTCGTCAACGACAGCCTCACGGAAGCCGAAGCTGCGTTGGTGAACTCATTGCCTAATCAGTGGTCTGGTGTTACAGCTTTCCGAGTTGCACTAGCTTTTGCCACCATGGAGACAATCCTTTTTTCCACGACTATGTTCATAAGTAAGTTGCAGCCTCATATAGAGATCTAATCACTGACGGTTTTGAACAGTAAGACGATTGCTCATCCAATCCTCAGCCGAATAATTCTCCAGGCACAGCAGACTAGAGAGTAGTCAAGACGCAGAACGTTGCACAGAACATACCAGATGCTCTAATTGGTACTCGAAATATCCACTCGGCAGACGAAGGGCGGCAGGCCGACACTTTTCGAAGCCACTATACATATACCCTGTTATCATATCCCACAGCATAATGTCACAGCATTTCAGACAGGCGCAATTCGGTAGGAGAGGGGAGGAGAGATATCAGTTGACGACTTATACAGCTACCATAAACACGTTTTTGGCGTTTGGGGTATTGGAGTCTAGGTTTGTAATATCCATGATCAGAGATACGAGTACGAAGTAGGAGAAGAGAAATCAAGAATTATCGCTTAATTATCGCTTAATCCATCCATCTTCACAACAGTCTTGCCCAACGTCCCTTTAGTCGACCCAATCATCTCCAACACTGCCTTTACCTCCTTCAAACCCTCTCCATTCCCTAAATCAATCACTCTTCCTACAAGCGGCTTCAACTTCCCTTCTCTTCCCCACTTCTCCACGGCGTTCGCAAACCTCCCATCAAAATTCGTAGACGTACCATCATATTGGACTCCCCACCTCCCAGCCCTCCACCACTGAACCCCCAGCATTGCGTCAACAATCCAACACATCCACACCGGTGCAGTAAGTAGCTCCCTCTTCAACGTCTCACTTGACTTACTCAACAAAGAAAGCAACACACCACCCTCCTTCACAACCTCCACATACGCCATCCCCGTCCCCACCGTATCAAACAAAAAATCAACCTTCCCCTTCCCCACACTCTTCACCACATCCTGCTTCCCATAATCGACAACCTGATCCACTATCCCCTCCCCAAAAACCTCCTCCACCATGCCCACCTTCCCACTCGAAACCGTTGTAATCACCTTACCGGCCCCGAAAACACCCTTCGCCAACGAAACAGCCACATTCCCCACGCCTCCCAATCCACCTACCACGAACACCGTCTTCCCTTTCAAGCATCCCGGTCCTCCAAATTTCGCTTCCGCCTGGAACAACGCGCAAATAGCCGTACAAATCGAACTCGTGCCCGCCATCTCCTCAAAGCTCATCCCGTCTGGCATTTTGGAGATAAAATGTCTCGTCTCCGGCGTGAGATGTAGATATTGAGCTCCCGCGCCATGGACCCAGAATGAGAAGCCGTAGACGCGGTCTCCTATCTTGTATTCTTGTACATTATCCCCGGTTTCTTTTACCGTGCCGGAGAAATCGGCGCCCATTACGAGAGGCAGGCTGGGGTTTGTGTTAGTAGGAAAAATGGGGAAAGGAAGGGAAAGGGAAAGAGACGGACGAGATTGTTTCTACGATGCGAGACCAGCCCGAGATGCGCATTGGGTCGGAGCGGTTGAGTCCTAGGGCGTGGACGTGGACTATGAGGTCGTCTGGGCCTTGTATTTTCGGATCGGGGAGGGTGAGGACTTCCAGGCTGGAGGGGCCGTTGAAGGTGGATACTCCGAGGGCTTTCATGTTGCTTGTGGATAGGTGCTTTGTTGAGTGTTGGTGTGGTGTGGTTGTGATGTTGAGCTCAGAGTGACACACAAGGCTAAGGATAAATCATGTCTTGCTTGAGAGTGTAAGCGAGGAGAAGTAATTATGGGCTTGATGTACGACTTGAATCTGTATGGATTTCAGTAAGTTGTTACATGGAATTTGGGTATTTGTAGTAGAGAGAGCTGAATACCGAACGCCGAAAAGGAGGCGTTCTGAAGACCGGCTATTAAGCGAGGTGTGACAACCAAAACAGAGACCGGTTTTCGGGGTTGCGTGATTGTTGGCTACCTGATATCACGCATTTGTTTGGTTGGGTCGGGTCCATGTGGCTCTAATCAGGTTATAATATAATCATTCCATTCTTAAAAGCTTCCTTTTTGAACTTCCGAATTGAACGTAGCAAGATCGGCCGAGACAAGCACACAACTACTTCGGTACCTACTGTGCTACCTCAATCATTCACGTGCATCGATTTGTTCGAACATTTACTGTCTTTGAAACGGAATCATTCACTCGCACAAAAGGACCAACTACCTTCTGCTTCTTCATTCAACTATCAATCTAATTCCTAATTCCAAATACGCCCGCTAAGCAATCAAACACTATCACACAGCGGAACATCAGTATTTCCTTGAAGTGATGTGCTACTAAGCTATGTAGTTCCTCATTTACAGGAGTTGATAGACTGAAGTGGCTGATTATGTACCGAATAGAGTAATCTCGTAACAAAGTTGAGATTTCCAATAATAGAAGACGCAAACGGTTTCGTCGAACAGAACTATTCACTGTAGCGAGAATTTCTGCACATTGACAAGTGATCCACTAAGTGTTAAGAGGTCTCAAGGGACTAAGCTCGAGACACAATGATTAAGTGTCAACTTTTTGACGAAAATATATTTAAGTCTTCCTTCATTATATGGCTGAATCAAAATAACCTACACACTTTCGCCCTCCTCACAAGATACAAACACCCAACCACCCCATCTACATCTTGTCATGGCTTACTCTGAAGAAGGTGTAAGAAGAGAGGATTCATTAGACCTAGAGCTACGCGTCGTAGGTGGAAAGAAAGACAAGAGAGGAAGAAGGTCGAAGGACGAGCTGCTAAGATATATTCGAAAGCAGTGGTCCGAGCTTCCTCTCTTATCTCTTTTAGGACTAGCTATGGCTGACACGTGACTAAGACGCGGTTAGTCATCAGCCCGGGAAAGTAGCGCTCCCTAGCTTTAAGCCTAATAGGGCTTAGCTTCCCACGTGATCCCCAACTACAGCACAAAAGGGCAGGGAACAAAGAGACAGGAAACAAAGAGACAGGATCGTAGCACATCTCTCACATAAACACCTATCCAACAACCTCTCTTATCTCTTTCTCTTTCTCTTACCTCTTTCTCTTACCTCTTTCTCTTACCTCTTTCCCTTACCTCTTTCCCTTTCCTTTTCCCTCCTAACACAAACCCTTTCCCCCCCCCCCCCCATGAACCCCGCCCACCGACAACGCGTCCTCGAAGCGCTGCAATGGGACACATTCATGACCGGAATCCGTCGCCTCCCGCCTCATGGTATCCGACCCGATCCGTTTCTCGGTCCCATGGGACCTCGACTTACCAATAGTGACTTTGACCTGTTCATGGCCGGTGGACCAATGTCGCCTGCGTTGATGGCCGCTTGGTCGCATGGAGGTTGGAGGGCTTGGGGAAGACGTCCGGGCTGAGTTGAGGTGGAAACCTTGACGTTGTCTGAGAGGAGTAGGCGGTAGGATCTGTTTGTATTGTACATAAGAAATGAAAGGATCGTTGAGCTTCTTGAAGTAAACTTTAGTGTCAAAACAGACAGTAAAGTCTCGAAAAGAATAATGCAAAGTCAGTTATCTCAAAGATATATTGTAAAACTTCCAGCACTCCAAGCATGCATTGCAGAACTTTATACGGAGGGAACTTAGGACATCAAGGGCACACAAAATAATATCATAGTGTAAAGTGTTTAAAATACCAAAAAAATTCAAATTGCTATAGAATTGCTACTTACACCTTTACTTAGCTCCCTTAGCTGAATCTTGCACCCGTATCTAAGTTAGTAGTTAGGGTTAGTCTCCTAATATACTCAGTACGCTAGCACTACCAATGCACCGACTCTCTAAACACACTGACTCTCTAAACACACTGACTCTCTAAACACACTGACTCTCTAAACACACTGACTCTCTAAACACACTGACTCTC